GGCTGTACTGTATAGATCGAAACCAGCATTTTGAATTATGCTCGGAAATGACTTCTGTTGTTTTAATGCTAAAGTTAATTCTTGCCCTTCACATGGTGGTAAAATGCCACGGGAGTCTTATCATTTCAGCTATCGGTTTTATTATCTCACCAGCAGTTGTTGAGTGTTCAGTCCAATCTATGGCCCAAGAGTAATAGCCAGGCTGAATCAAGGAATCCTTGATTCAAATGTTGCCTTTGGCTCTTTGTACCTTTGCCCCACCCAGCCCCAGGATCTTTCTCCTTAAGTAACTTTCAGGAGTGCTGCAAGGATGACACCGTGAAGTTTTTGGAAACTTGGGTTTGAAAGGTTAAGCTAGGTTTTTGGTAAAGTTGTGAAAAGTTGTTAAGAGTAGGATGAAATCAGGCCTATTAAATCATTTAGAAGAAAGCCAAGCCTAGCCCTGTAACTCAGGGATTTCATCCACTTGTTTGTCTGCTAGAAGACTACAAATGCTGCTCCTTTCCTACAGATTCAGGCGCTGATACAGCCATTTCTTTTGTGGTTGTGCAGAGCTCTTTCACAGCAACCTTTTTCACTTCTTCAAATTTGGCTCTTGGAAGAAAGGCGGCCTCTTGTCATGCTGGTAGCACAATTTCTTCTCTCTGGATTAGGAATCTCCATTTTCACTTCCACCATGTTTGGCTCGAAACGGTTGCCTTAAATTCCACCAAAGTTCTAAATTCTGCCTTAGTTTTGTGCTTTGTTAGGATGGCCTCGCAGCTCAGTCTTAGACGGGATATTACTTGTCTTCTTGCCTGCCTCTCTGGCCAATTTTCTGTCCCTGGGGAGGGCAACAGCGAGAAAAGTTCCCCTGAGGGCTCTGTAGTATCTCTAAATGAGATCCAAACGTGATTTAGCATTAGGGCAGGACAATGCAGGTCAGCCTTCCCCAACGGAGACACCAGAATTTCCAGATACATGGGCTCTTTATTTCTAGGGCCAAGGTAGAGAGATGTGGCCTTTGGGAGATGGACTTGGTGGATTCAGGCAACCGGATGGTTTACAACCCACAATGATATGCATAATCACCATTGTGCTGGAACTCTGGTGACCGACCTCAGGGTTCCTCAACCTCAGCAACTTTAAGATGGGCGGGCTTCAATGGCTGGGGAATTCTGGGAGTTGAAGTCCACCCATCTTAAAGTGGCTGAGGGTGAGGAACCCTGACCTACCTTATTCCTCAGATCAGAAGCCTATTTAGCTGAATAAGGTGCCTTTGCAGAGGTTTACCAGACATTTCTGCAAAGGGAAAGAAAGAAAAAAGAAAAGAAAAGAAAAGAAAAGAAAGAGCCAGCCAGCCAGCCAGCCCATGGATTGTCCCTAGAATATGGTAATTGGAAATACACTAGTTTTGTATAAGAAGCTGCCCTGATAAGAAGCTGAAAAGCCAGTCTGGGTCTCTCTTAAAGTATCTGAACAGGGTCTTCACTTCTCATGACAATTTCTCATTTCTGGTTTTTTGTTTGCACTCTTTATCATCTTATGTACTTTTACCAATTTCCTTAGTTGTTGCTTTAAATTAACGAGCTGTGTCTTCACCAAGAAGACCGGCTGTCACCACCCACCATACACCCACATTACCCTTCTACTAGCTCTTTTCTGTATCTTCTCCAGCTGTCGATTAAACGTTTTAAAATGGACTATTCTGGATATGTGCATGTTATACATTGAAGGTTTCATGCTTTCTATGAGTAGAGAGTAAGGAAGATGACCTTGATGGAGATATGCAGGAACCATTATCTAGGCAAAGAGGCGGAAACGTTTTTTTTAGGTTCAGAACAGTGATAACATTCAGAAGCAGTTCAGGAAGACGCCTCCCTAATTCACTAAGCATGAGGAGGAGGAGGAGGAGGAGGCGGTGGCAGCAGCAGCAGCAGCGACACAATCAGACTTGTAAGATTCTGTTATTTTAGCCTATCTCAGTAAAGGTAGTTTTAGCCTTCCTGGAGCTGATTTAATGTTCTGGTCTACCTAGTGGGGCTGAACTAGGGTCATAACTTCCAGAGATAGTCACATCCACTCCCTCTATCCATAACATGGTCTATGAAAACATAACTGAGATTTTGCTATTAATAAATATTTGTGGACTATTTTAAATCTCTTTGTTAATAACTTGTGTGCTAAGAGTAATGTGTGCTAATAATAACAATTAACTCAGAGGCAGCGTGCTGTAATCGATAAGCTCTTGGGCTGGCACCAGGGAGACATCGATTCTGGTCCACCCTCAGCCATGAAAGCTCACTGGTTGACTTTGGGCCAATTGTTCCCTCTCAGCGCAACCTACCTCACAGGGTTATTGTTACAGAAAAAAGCAGAAAGAAAGAATGCCGTGCCCACAACCCTGAGCTCCTAAATGAAAGGCAGGATATAAGGTTAATGAAAGTATAAAATAAATAATTGTTGCGGTGATTGAATCAGTAAGCTTTCCAATCATCTGGGATTTTTCAAATATCAACAGGCTGTTTATTTGAATAGCTGCAGGCAAAGAACTTGGGTGATCAAGTTGACATGTAGATTTCTCAGAATCAGATCTTTGGTTAGACAGAATGAATCAGACTCAGCATGCAGCTGGCTTGGAAGTCAGGGCTGTTGGATCCTCTCATTTGCCCTCTCTCAGCTGTCCCCAGATGTAGTGAAAGATGTGGTCCCCTTGCTAATGTTAAAGTAAACTTTAGCCACTAATCCAGTTTTTATGTGTACTCAGAATGGGATTTGAATGTCTTAAGTAGCAAAACATGTAAGGACGAACCCTGGAAACTTACAAAACAGGCAACAGTGGCTAAGTTGGTCATGAGAAAAACATTACCCAGAATTCATAATAATATGTTTATTAGATTATTTGAAGGATTACAAAACAATGTGCAAGCTTCTGGATTTCAAAGAATTCTATAACTGACCAGATAGTTAAGAAATTGCAGGAGGGGCCAAGGAAAGGAAAGAAAATGTGCTTAGTATTTCTTCACCAGGTTCCAGTTTGAGTAATCTGGGAGATGTTAACTGGATGTAATCAGATACAGAATTGTGTTAATGTTGCACTAAAGTCTTGCCAAATCATGCAGACAAAAAGAAACATTCAAAGAATTGTCAGTCCCTTATTCTTGGAAGTAAAACATCCTGGTGTTAAAAGTCAAAATACTTTCCATCTTTGTGAAATATGCAAGTCCCAAGTATGAAACTCCTTAGTAAGCTATATGAACTGGTATCTTCTTCAAAATTTAGAAATCATGTTTGGGAAGTAAAAACATTTTCTCTGACCACATTTGGTAAACCATATTCTCCCTGCAATCTATGTTGATGACCTTAGATTTGAGATCAATATGTACATTTCAGATCCAAAAGTTTATGAATAAGTAGCTTAGTACAGGATTTGAATCTGGCATCTGCAAATGATTGGCAACCTCTGATTTTTCTACTCAGCCCCTGGAAACTGGAGAAATATCGTACCATTGCTCCACTTGCATTTCTGCTACATCCATTTCATTGTGGGAAATTTCCCTACATTTTCCCCTGTCCATGTTTATGGAAGGACAAGAGGCCCCAGACTTGCAGATACAAAGAATCCTTCTTACTTATTCAGAGTCTGGGGATAGTTGCCAGGTAAAAAAGATGCCAAGAAAGTGGAAAGTTGCAAGCGTTGTTATAGCTTACCAACTGTTACAGACTATTAAAGTCTGGTTTGCTTGCTAAAGAAAATGAAAATGGCCAGCAACAAGATTGACTGTTAAAATCAGCTGTTACCCCTCAAATAAGCAACAAACAATAACCAATAGCAAATAACAAGAGCAATAAAAAATCTCAAGTTTGTAAATTGATTATAATGGCTGGCCAGCTGACATAGTTCATGAAAATACTAAAAGCAGAAAGGAAGCTCTTCTGTTTCTTGAAAATGATACTGCTCTATCATATCACCAGCAAGAAACACAACATGATACCTAAGCAGATAAACAGATCAGTAAGGAATTCACTCAACAAAGCTAAGTTTTTACATGCATTTAACAGTTTTGGGTTGTCTCTGTGGAGGGTATTCCTTAGGCAGTGTTTCTCAACCTTGGCAACTTTAAGATGTGTGGACTTCAACTCCCAGAATTCCCCAGCCAGCCATGCTAGCTGGGGAATTCTGGGAGT